CACTTTGTCCACTACAAATCCCACTTGACCAAACCCGGGATCGAACCCGGGCCGCCGCGGTGGGAAGCCAGCGACTAACCGCTTGAGCTGTGGCGCGGCCGAGATTCGAACTAAACACTTGCTGAATACAAGTCTAGGGTGTTGTTGCTAGGCAACCTGCTTGGGAGGCTGGTACAGACATTCGGGTTATCACCAAGGCCACACGGTATTATTGGATCTACGCACAAATGTACAGCTGTGTACATAAGTGCAGCACCGCATATTTCATTGAACAGGTGAACAACGGCATACATCCATATCAATACAGAGTTCTGCTATAGAAATAAGCATAGGAGTAAATTAGGCAGAACTTGAAGTAACATCAGCAAAATAGGAAAAGAACTCTTTTGTCTTTAAGTGACATATTTTACGTAAATGCAGGGCGAAATCACAGCATAATGATACTAATAGACTCTTTGAGAATGTGGTAAACCTGAAATATTTAGGAACGACAGTAACAAATCAAAGTTTGATCCATGAGGAACTTAAGGAGTCAGGATAATCCTTGCTACCGTTCAGTCCAGAACATTTTGTCATTTTGTCTTCTCGTCTGCTGTCTAAAAAACCTGTAATATACGAAACTATAATTTTGCCTGTGGTTTTATATAGGTGTGAAAATTGGTCTCTGATATTAAGGGAGGAACATAGACTGAGGGTGTTGAGGAAAATATATGAACCGAAGGGAAATGAAGTGACAAAAGGTTGGGGAAAACTGCATAAGAAGGAGTTTGATAAATTTTACTCTTTGCGAAGTATAATTAAAATGATCAAATCAAGGAGAATGAGATGGGCAGGGAATGTAGCAGGCATGGGTATAAGAGAAATGTATAGAGGATATTGGTGGGAAATCCAGAAGGAAAGAGACCACTAAGAAGGCCTAGACGTAAGTGGAAGATAATATTAAAATGGATCTTGGATAGGATGGGGTAGTATGAAATGGATTGATCTGGCTCAGTATAGGGAGTGTTGTGTACACAACACACAGCACAGTGGAAACATCTAACCACAAGCCATACAACATCAAGCTGACATCTCCCATCTTCGGGATGAATCAACAAGGAGGAGCTTAACATTTTACATGAAATGTTTTAAATTTTTAAATATTTTAACATTGACGTTTTTAACTTGAGGGAAGTTTCGGATGGGATGTGAGAATTGTTAGTGCATTCAACAATCCTAGCAAGTGTTGTGCTTTTACACGTCGACATACTGTAGCAGCGTCCACGCAGCAAACATAACTGTGTACATCTTAAACAACAACAGTGTTTTCATGATTGTACTATGTGCCTCTGATGATGGTTATATATTAAACCGAAACATGTAAGGCAGAAGTGATAAAGAAGTGACCTACAAATTGTTACACTGGACGGACTTTCTATTGACTTTGTGATTGATAGTGTAACGGACCAAAAATGAAACAATTCAAAACAGTTAATATGAAGTTACGGTCGTCTTAGAAGTGACACCATAAAGTCTGGTTAAAATATGCCAACTTTTCAGAAGAACCTGCCGCTTTCACTTATGGTCTACCCTTAAAATGGCTGCAGGAGGTTTATTTCTACTAGATTCCACGGAGTCACATCCCAGAATATAGTATTTTTCGGTATATTCCTAGGTCACGAACGATCAAGCTTAAACTTCATATGTTTATAAAAATTAAACCAAAATTATGTCAAGTATTGGTCTACATATAATGTGACGAAACCATCTTCTGGGATATGTTGTCGTGTAGTCCGTTGAAAGTCACGGTATATAGCCTCGGGGCAGACCCCATATAAAATATCGCCTCCAACAAACTCTTCTGTTACTGCCTACGTAACTGTTGCTACGATCACGTGGTCACCGACCGTTGCGTAGCAACGAATCCTAGTTTAATAGTGCCAACGCGTATTTACCGTATCGACCCCTAGCAATGAATGTTTCTTTTCGATCCAGAATTCTGGCCTTGAACCCTTATGTGTCAACATTCTGTTCCCCGACTGCTATCAATTGTTTCACAAAGGCAGACATCAAATGCTCATTGAGATGTCCATACTAGGTATTATTTAAAACAAATTTCGTCTGTTCTCAGATGAGGGTTCTATTATATTTCCGTGTAAATTACATTGTAGGAAAGTTACAGTTATCTTTTACAGTTAAGAGATATCAGGATAAATGTCTTTAGCTGATCTCATGAGATATAAAATAAATTCCGAACAGAAAATCCAGGCCTTATTAAAAAGGTCTCTCTTTTACATCAGTTTGTTATCTGCCCATTCATAAGCCATTGGTTTTCCCAAGATAATACGTTACGGATTCATAAGTATAAACACGGACCTCTATGCAACTTCACGTGGAGTTCTTAAACAAGTTATGTCACATCCTTATCGCTTATGTCAATATTGTCTAAGCGAAGAGAAAGGAAGCTTACTTTTTCTGTCTAACTCCTATTCACTGGTTGTATTTATGTTTGTAGATAAATATTTGGTCACAGATATAAAGTCACAGACTTTTATATATGATTCTTATCAAATTGTAAGCCGGTATAGCTCAGTCGGTATACAAGCTGGAATGCCGGGGTTAGACTCCAAACAGAGGCAAGAAATTTTCTCCTCTCCACAGCGTCCAGATCGGCTCTGAGGCCCACACAGCCTTTTAACCAATGGGTACGGGGGATTCTTCCTCGGAGTAAAGCGGCTGGGGCGTGAAGCTGACCATTCACTTCCATCTAATTCCTAGGTGAAGAAAGGTGCAGGCATGCCTTCACTGCCCCATACACCTTCATGACGTAGTGCTTAATTAAGCACAGGCACAATTATACGTTTAACATTTACCCTCTTATCAAATTATTTGGGTTACATAATCAACAATTTCTTGCCTCTTATTACCATGTCTTGAGAATCGCCGGCCAGTAAGGATATGATATCGGAAGATGAGGGATCTACGGCGTTGGAAACCGTTACCAGGCAACGACTGGTGAAGACATGGCAGACTGAAAAGACGTAGTACGTGCTGTAGGGAACTGCAGAGTTTGCGAATTAGCGATAGCGCTATAATTACTTGTAGTTATGATCTGTAAGTGGTCAATAAATCCACTTACCAGTTCAAACCCCATCCATAGTCACACCAACATGAGATAATATTTAATACTTTATTGTATTAAACTTTTCGAAGCATTTTAATCTGTTCTTTTGCCATGTAACTGCTCAGTAGATGAATGTATGTGATGTTAAAGTAGATGAAATATTTCATCTTAACGAAATTCAACGATAAATCGAATGCAAAGAAAAAACGCAATACGAACTTGAAAAATTCTGGAAGAAGAGCTATATTTATGTTAAAATTTCTGCGTGCCGCACGATCCGTTATCAGACCCTGCGGTCAGCGTACATACAAGCCTTCAAGCAACATTCCCATCACCTCTCCTGCGACCTCGCTGCAAACCGACGCGGAGCGAACACTATGCTACTTTTATATGTAGCAAACAGATCAAGTAAATACAGCAAAGAATATTATAATTAACTTCCGATCTCGTAAGAAACCATATTATCAATCGTATTGCTCTCACTCCTGCATATATTTAGTTAAAACGTCGACATGAGTGTTAACTGAGATTTTTCTAAGTAATTCTCTTCGAATTAATAACTTCATAATCGACTCCTTTCTCACCACTACCAAAGCCTCATTATCGTAACTCCTAACCTCATTATCTGAGAAGAAGATACTAATAAATCTCTACATAAGAACGTAAAGTAACCTCCTCTCCGTCTCAGCTCCACTTGGTTCTCGGGAACGACGATAGAGGCGCCACTTGACGGCTTTCTTTCCGCATCAGTTGCAACGACTTCACGGAAAAGCAGATGAAGGCGCAAATTTGAGACTTTCCGTTGCCCGTAGGCAAAAGCATTGCTAGTATAGAAGAAATAATTCTATATGCTGTGTAGCTATAGAGCCGATGTCTTCGAAATCTGTAATCAAATTATGTTCACCTCATTTTAATTCCTTGCATACTGTTGTGGAATCCAAAGGAGTGGAAAAGGGAGGGCAAATCTGGCAAAATCTTCTAAGGTAGGCTATTGCTCAAAAGCGAACCTTTTGCTTCACACACACACACACACACACACACACACAGATGCATACACAAAACATCCCAGAATAATGTTATGACCAGGGCCCGGATTTTGATGACCTGAAAATATTTAAAAAATGACCTATAAAATGACCGAAAAAATCCAGAAAAATGACCTAAAGGAGAAAAGAAAGAACACTTCACTTCCATGTTATTCACATTTCAGAAAACATATGAAGAAAAATTCACCAAAATGGCCAAAAATGACAAGAAATACCATTAAAAGTCCAAAAATTTACCAAAAAATTACCCCCAAAATGAAAAAAATGACAAAGAAATGCCTATAAAATTTACATTTCTGTAACCAGCAGCTCATATCTGAGATTTATATATTTGAGAGCATCGCATAGGATGCAAGGAAAAAAAGACGACATGTCATCAAAATCCGGGCCCTGGTTCTGATACTGTTGATACTTTGCTGTTATTTGGTCTTGTCCATAGTGTGTAGGCGCCAACGGTAAACTTTGTGAACATCTCAAGCGAGGGCTGCTTGACGAAATTTTGTATTACCATTTTGCTTGATATTTTAGTCTTCATAACTTACTTTGTTATAAGTAAGGTAAATCTGGCCGGTCACGGTCTAAGGCATGTACTGTCTTCGCTCGCTTGGAAACCTGGATCGTGGGTTCGAATCCCACTCAGGGCATGGATGTTTAGTTTGTGTGTGCGTTTTTCTGTGTTTGTGTACAGGTAGAGGCCTTGCGACGTGCTGATCACCGGGCCCAAGGAGTCGTACCGAACGTGTAAGATCTAGAAAAACAGAAGTGAACGGAGAAGTTCATGGAGGTAGGCCTAGGCCCACTGGGGCTGTGGTGCCAAGGGGAAAAAAGGTAAATTTGTCCGTGTGCTTAATTAATTAAGCACAACGCCATGAAGGCGTATGTGGGAGTGGATGTATAGATCCACAATTTCTTGACCTCAGCACTAGTTGGAGGTGAGTGGTCAGCTTTACGCGCCCGGCCGCTTTACTTCCGAGGAAGGAGCCCCGGTACGCATTTGACAGGAACTTGAGTGGACCCCAGAGCCGCTCTGGACGACGTGGAGAAAAGAAAATTCTTGATCCTAACGGGGAACGAACTCCGGCCCCTCGGTCCTGTAGCCAGTCACTATGCCGACTATGCTATCCCGGCTCGAACTTACTATAAGCAAGGTATGAAAACACCTAACAGAATAAGACAACATAACTCTGGATCATCTGCATAAGTATATAGAGTGCGATTCTAAATTATTGTCGTGGTTTACGTTTATAAGCCACGGAAACCCCGACAATAATTTAGAACCACATTGTGTATCACTGTTTTGGGCGTTAAGTTGTAAGCAGAGGGATGTATAATACTGTGTTGTAGCAATGGATTATGGGCAATATAGTCCGAAATATTCCATATTCGCGTGGGATATCAACACTGAAGTCTTCGATGAGTGGCAGTTAACACGCATTTTTCTATTGTAGTATGTGAAAGCAAAAATAATATACCTTTATATATTATTTTAAAGTAAAATATTATTGCATAGAAATACATAGATTTTGACACATGACTTCCATACAGCAAGATTATTTATCTATATAATAAAATCGTTATGTTGCTGCGTGAAATTATGGCATCATAATGCTCAAACACAGAGCATATACGTAGTACTAATTCTACCTGCAGAATATCTATATAAATTATAGTCAATGCTCAAGTGTAAGAGCTTTTTGAAACATTCATTTTATATTTTGTCTATACTAAATTAGATTGTGAATGCGCGAAGCGAAGAGTCTAGGAAAATGTCTTCCCTCGCCCGGGAATTGAACCCACATTATCAGATTGTTCACCGTAACCTTGTCAATACACTGACTGAGGTATCATTCTTCCCTTGTCCCGTTAAGACAGGGGCCATTTTGTCCACCAATATGTGGTAGTAGAGTGCTTGTACCAGGAACGTATAAACATTTAGACTAATTTCCAGCCGTTTATGCAATTCTGTCTTCTCTCAATTTTCAAGTTATTGCCGATGTACTCTGTAATATAAAAATGCCAAATTATACTTGTTTAATATGATATTTAGGCCTACCCGTTTAAGTGACTATTCATGGCTTTCCTTGCTGTAAAATGAGCAAGGAAAATATCTGATCCACTGTGTCCTTGGTGTGTTTCACTGTTTCTTCCAGCAGTGAGAAGTTCCTCTCCAGATGAAGTATCTGTTCGGATTGTTTCAGGAGTTCTTCTTGTAAACCGCCTTGGCTCTTCCGCAAAACGTCAGTCATGTCTGCCCTTTTCCCAACAAGCTCCTTCTCAATCTTTTCTTGATTTGCACTTAGTAAGTCGTACTTCGCCACAACTTCGTCGACAACTTTCCCCATTGCGTTCTTCATTTCCTGTTCCACCCTGGTCAACTTGTATTCATATATCTCTTTCAGCTCCTTGACTTGTGTTGTCAGAATTTCTTGCTGTTCACATAGATTCTTTACCCTCTTTGAAACAAGAGACCCATTTTCACTCCCCCAGGCTCGAACTACAGCGTCTTGAACACTTTCAATTCCCCTAGATGGCGATGCGTTTCTTTTATAAATTTGTTTCAGGGCACTGTTGATGATGTCCCTGGACATTGCTGTGTTCATCTTTGGCTCCGTCTCATCCAGGCAAATATTACCTTTTGTTCTGTTGGGAAAGACATGAACCTGCTTATCTGGGAAACATTTGAAGACCGAACACAAATTTGGGGTTGCAATTGTTATGATTCTAGGAAATATCCACTTGCTATGAGCTGCCCCACAAACCAGTGTCTCGATATTGGAGATGAGACGCACCCTTGCAGTTAGACTCAACGTTTCTGCGTCGTTCTTGATGGCCTGCGTGTCACTTACAGCCAGTCCGCTAAGCAAGTTTAATAGTATTACACCTATAAGTAGTATGAAGAGCACCAGGATCACGTGGCTGGTCACTGGCAGCAAATGAAATTCCATGTCGGATGCCTCATATTCACCATTCAGCATCAGTATTGATTTCATCGTGGTCGTCCAGATGTTTTCATAGAAAATCTTCGAGCGTGATCTGCGAAACATTGTGTGGACACAAAGGCTGAACGCTATGATGAGAGGCGAGTAAAATGACATGAACTTCACGAACGTAAGAGATACGGTCTGCAACATCTGCATCAGGATGGAGCAGTCAGGAATGCAACCAATTCGTAAGAGGAACTCAAACCAGGCGAGCAGGACCGCAATAGAGGCGCAGTGTTGTTTCGTCGCGTTGTCAATCTGTGGTACACATAAAATTACGGTCAGAATTATGTGAGATACACGAAGTAATGTGCTGGGTCTCTGGAGGTACTGCTTTGTAACAGAGAGAAATTGAGTAACCTCTCTCACTGCAAACATGGCGACCAGAACTGTAAGCCCCAATCTGATACCTAGCTCCATTTCTGTCTCCACAGTATTTTTTGAATTTGTTTCCGTTACATTTTCATCTGGCTGCAATAAATTATTTGGGAGTGATCCGTTTTCGGACTGCGGTTGAAAGTTGGTTCCATTTTCGTTATAAGGCAGGTCTGTCACTGTTTTGTTTGATTGATTGTCAACAGTTGATATGTTGCTAGGAGCTGTACTGTTTTCTTCCGTATCACCAAAAATTACTATTTCATTTTCTGTGTTCTCATTTCTGTTGTCATTTTGTGGATCGCCCAACCTCTTTTCTTCCTCACACTCCAGAACGTTGGTAATATTTTCCGTGCAATCGTTGCTTTTCCAGGAGAGTTCGTGTGTATCATTCCCCGTCTGGTTACAGTTGCAGCTAGTATTTCTATTGTCACATATTCTCCCTCCAGAATAGTCCGTTAACACGACATGCGTTGTGAGGAAACACAAGAAAACGATATAAAACAGCAGATTTATATAAAACAAGGAGCGGGCAAAATTCCATTTGAGATACAGAAAACTAGTAATTACAGGGTGCTTCAGCATGTGGCGCAACCTTCTGTCTTGACTTATGTATAGAAGGACAGGCATTTCAGCGTTCTCTTTTCTACATTTACTATTAATTTTCGGTACCAGAAAATTGTAATTGAAAGTAAGTCTAAAATCCTGGTGGTGTGGGTTCTTTTCATTCGTCTCCAAGCACTCATCAAAGAATCTTCTCAGTGTAACCCGATCGATTTGTGATAACGGCGGTTGCCTGAACTTGGTGAACATCAAGTCGGCACCGTGCTTCATTAGCATGACTACTGTATCCTGGTTTCCGTCTCTAGCCGCAATGTGCAGTGCAGTTTCCCCATAACCATCCATTAGATTAATGTCTGCACCATTCCTCAACAGAATGTCCACCACCTCGCTGTTACCACATCGTGCAGCCACGTGTAGAGCTGTGTTACCCCACTCATCCGTTGCGTCCATATCGATGACCCTACAGGCAGAACACTCACCCTCTAAAATATGTACCAAGCTCTGCTGAAGTCCTTGAACTTCCTCCTGACGCGTGACACTGAGGCGCGCCAGACAATGCAGTACTGTCCTCTGGCAGCAGTCTTTGATGTTCACATCTGCATTCCTCGCACTCAGTAACACGTTCAGCGGTTCCAAATTTCCTCTTTTGGCTACCATGTGGAGCAGGGGAACATCTGATACTGGATTCACCGTGTTCACGTTGGCTCCAGCGTCAATCAACATTCGGGCATAATTATGTTTCTCCGCTAGAGTGCAGGCGAGTTCCAAACAGGTACAGTAATATGGCTCATCATACCAGTATTCAAGGTTCACTGAGGTCTTCTTCAGCGTATCCTTGAACGTATCGAGGCAATCATGTTGGATTGATGCAAGCAATCGAATTTGAAGATTTGTTGATTTCAGGTCCTCTGATAAAGGTGGTGGTAGAATTGCTTTGAACTCTGGATAGAGCAAGAGGATAGTTTCACGAACAGTTTTAATTTCATCGGCACCTGACGTATCCAGATTCAAACGATGTTTCCCATGATGCTGCAAGATGGTCTGAATTATTGTTCTACTGCCGTTCTTTACAGCATGACCCAGAGCTGTGTGACCATACATGTCAGGTTTGTTCACTTTCAGGTCTGACTTCTCCATCAACAATGTTATGCATTGCAAGTATCTCTTATCAACGCCGTGATGTTTGCAGGATTCTTTCGTCAAAACATGCAACGCAGTACTACCATTCTTGTCCAATGTATTCACATTGATTTTACTGTGCAGAAGAAGTTCTTTCATGACCTCGTGATGGCCTTTCATTGCAGCCAGATGTAAAGGTGTACATCCGACATACCCACCCCCAGCGTTGATATTAATCCTGTGGTCGGTGATGAGGGTTCGGACCACGTCTAAATGTCCACCTTTCACAGCCATGTGGAGGCTGGTCCACCCATCACCATCTACAGCATTGATATCTCTCTTGGAATTCATCAGCAGAGATTTAACAGTGCCATTTTCCCCTTCAGTTGCCGCCATATGCAGAGGTGTGCGTCCAAAAGAAGCTTCATTTCTTGTATTAGAATCCGGACATGATTTAGAGTCTTCAGTAAACAACGTCAGAGGCACAGTTTCCGGCGTGCTACAGGAAATATCTTTCTTCTTCCGTGATGAATTTGACGAGCAACTTACTCGTTTAACTGTGTTGTCATCTTCTTCAGATTTGGGCGAATCGTTTATGGATATTCTCACGCTTTTCGATGGGGGAACCATGCTGAGTGTATCGTCTGGGAAACAAATCAAAACATATAATATATCTATTGATTTCGTATATGATTATAAATTAAGTCTTAGCTAAATACAACTTAAGTAGTACTTAAGTACCCACCACCCCATGAAGGAACATGACGGAGCAGAAGTATATATCCATATTATTAACCTTGGCATTGGATGGAGATCATTCGTCAGTTTCATGACCTGGCTCTTTTATCCCCAGGAAAGGAGCCCTCGGTACCGATTGGATAGGACTGGAAGCTGAGGAGGAATGTATATTGTCCCTGCCAGGAACGTACCCTCGACTCGTCGACCATGAAACCCGTAGACTAGTCACTACACTGATTGAGCAACTCAAAGTACGCAGAAGATATAAAAATGAGAAGAGTCTTCCACTTTTAAATACTTGTACACTTATTTTCGATATCCGTCCTCTGCTACAACATACTCGATACTAGCAATACTGTTGGTTTGTTACAAAGAGAAATTACTTTTCCAGAGAGAAGTATTTTGAGGATGCAAGTCATAATATAAATGTTATATTTTTAACCGTATAAAACCAGAGTGGTTACTATATGTATCGCGTAATTTAATAATAACAACCCTGTATTCTGCCGAGAAAGTATGTTTCTATGTTTCATATCAGTCGCACAATGAACAGTGGCTACAATGGTAACTACACTGCATGAAAGCATATCCTCCTATATCTACAAAAAGCAACCCATAGCCGCGCCATAGCTCAAGCGGTTAGTCGCTGGCTTCCCACCGCGGCGGCTAGGATTCGATCCCGGGTCTGGTCAAGTTGGATTTGTGGTGGACAAAGTGGGGCTGGGGCAGGTTTTCTCCGAGTACTTCGGTTTCCCCTGCCAATCTTCATTCCACCAATTGCTCCACAATCACTCTCACCTATCATCTGGGGCTGGTACAATAGGCCAGAAATGGCCGCAGTACAAGGGACTTAGTCCCACTCCACTAGCAATAAAAAAATTATATAAATCCTGAGCTTTACGAAATGCACGCTGGAATGCGAACTCGGAACGCCAAGATGAAGAGAACACTTGCGAAAACTGTGTTCAAATTTAGTTGACTCCGAGATTCTTGCAACGGTGACTATGAAGATTACTGTTTTCTGCGGTAGAATAACATGTAGTCCGGTATAAATAATCCAATGTTTCTGAGGAACACACTGCCTCCATTCTCAGCGTCGAAAAATAAGCCAAGCAAATAATAGCAAGAAACGCGTTTATAAAGTCCTCTGCAGAATTGTAACCCGAGCCATTTTAAACCAATCGACAGTCTCACATTTCCTATAACTCTAGTTATTTTTAGTTTCTTGTGGTGGGGTGAGACTGAGTCCACTTGGTACGTCGGCCACTAATTAGCCTATTGTACCAGCCCCGGATGATAGATGATGATGACTTTGGAGCAGTCAGCGGAAAGACAATTCGCAGGAAAAACCGTGCTCGGAGAAAACTTTCCCCAGTTCCACTTTTCCATCATAAATCTCACATGATCTGACCTGGGCTCGAACACTGGCCGCCGCGGTGGGAGTCCGGTGACTAACCGCCTGAGCTATGGTACGGCCTCCTATACCTCTAAATAAAATAATGTTGTCCCTGTGCTTAATTAAATAATCACCACGCCATGGAGATGTATTGAGGAGTGGAGGTATAGCTCCACAATTCTTGACCTCGGCGCTAAGTGGATGTGAGCGGTCAGCTTCACCCCTGAGGAAAGAGATTTAGTGAAACCCAGAGCCAGTCTGGACGCTGTGGAGAAGAGAAAAATTCCTGTCGGCAATCGAACCCCGTTCGTTCAGCCCGTAGCCAGCTTTACCGACTGACCTCTCCCGGCTCCTCTACCTATGACTGTCTTCCAAAAGATTTCTTACCTTGAGTCTTTATGATATTAAGAAATACTCTCATTACAAAGAGATTATGTTATCTTGGGCTTGTGGATACTGCGTAGCGTCCATAAAATTTACCCAGGAACCACGAGTATAGCCAAGAATTTTTATTTGCAAGAGGCAGACACAGAATTTGCTTAGGGGCTTATGTTTAAGCGGTCTTAAGAACATTTTTATGCATCGCTGTAGAGTTGTGGGTTTTCTATATTGGGATATATGTATATGACACTATATTTAAGAATTATTTTAGATTTTGGTATTAATATTTATTAATGTGGTGTTGGAGAAGGATGGAGAAGATCAGTTGGACCGATTATGTGAGAAATGAAGAAGTGTTATTTAGAGTCAGTGAGCAGAGGAATATCCTACACGAAATAAGAAAACGGAAGGCTAATTGGATTGGTCATGTTTTACGCAGAAACTGCCTTTTAAAAGAAGGTATTGAAGGAAAGATAGAGGGGCAGATAGAAGTGACAAGAAGACGAGGAAGAAGACGTAAGAAGATGCTGGATGACCTTGGGGACAGAATACTGTCATT